GCAGCAGCGGCGGACCCACGGCTGCGCTCTGCCCGGTGTCCCGTGCCCGGCCAGTGGGACCGCGGGGAGCTGGCTGGGGCTCCTCGGGAGCGCTACCGGCCAAAGACTTCTTCCTTCCACAGGCCTGCCTGGCTTTGTGAGTCGAGGGGAATAAAGCGTCAGAGTGCGTTTATTTCCTTTGGGCTGATGTGGAGGAGTAGCACGGTTCAACTTCTGCTCCGCTGAAAATAATCCAGCATCCTCTGTAAATAGTTGGGGCCGCGTGTCGGTGAGGGGGGATCGGGCTCCAGCAGGAAGAGTAAACGCAATAAGAACTGTGGCGGGGCGCCCCGACTCCCCCTGGAGGGGCTCCCGCTGCCAGAGCCGGCCAGTGCCAGTGGGCTGGCAGAGTGTGCCCACCCGGCCTGGGCAGGGGGCCGCTCGGGCTGCAGCGTTCGGGGACTTGTCTCCAGAGTGAGTCTGACCAAGAGCTGTACCCTGCTAGCGACAAACAAACACAGAACAACTCCCGAGCCGGGACACGCTCCTCCAGTAAACGCCTGTGATCCCCAGGGCTGGAGTTAAGGGAATTCCTGCTCCAAAAGGAAGCTGTCAGGTTCAGAATTACCTTTTAACAGTTCTTTAAAGCGTTGTGTGTTAAGATCTCACTATTGCAACTGAGAATTACAGAGTACATCTATGCATATTTCTTTCAGCTAGGAGAAGGCGACTAGTCAGCTGCTAATTAACCTCGCTTGGAACCTCTCTCCCGTGCAGCAGTGGCGGAGGGTAGCGGAAACCGTGGGTATCTTAAGAGAAAAGCCAACTATCCACTGTTGCGTCGTGGAAGCTGTTCTAGAAACGTGACGTATTTGCAAACCCTATGTATACGGCAGCGCGCATACCCTAGGTACAGACAAGATTTGACCTGATGTCTTCTCTTTAAAGTGTGGTCTGTGTTTTTATATGGACAAGTGAACGCTTTGGGCTTTTGAAGCCGTGCAGTTTCCCTCTTTATACTATTTATAAAGTCTACTTTTTCATAAGGCTTTTAAATAAACATAGCGTAGAAGAGACACCGTGAATTTCGCCTTGCTACGACGGAAGCAGTCTGGAGATGCAGATTGTCCACGGCAGGGGATTCGACCTTTCTGACAAGGGAGAAACTTTTTCTGTAGGTGAAATACTCCATCTGTACCACAGGGACTGGTCTGCCCATCCATCCTAACGCATACTTCGTACCACAAACCCAGGCCAGGGCAGCCTTGACCCTCTTGGTCACCATATGGGAATCTGAATAAGAAAACGCCACTTACCAGCCTCCTAAGTGATGTACCAACCTGCTCCAGAAATCGTTCCACAACTGGCTTTAATTTTTCTTTATGAAAATTTATGAAATTTATGAAAAGCAGACTTGTTTTTCCTGTACAGTGGCTTGTATGTGTGAATTTTTAAATTATTCTGATATGGCATTGGTTGGTTTGGGGTTTTTTTTTTGGCCTGTGAAAGAATGAATGTAAAACACAGTCAGCATTATGCATTATTAATGATTAATTATTATTATTAATTATGATTAATTCTTTTGCAAGGAAAAATTGGTGGAAATTATTTCAAGCGATTTCCATTTATTCTTACAGCACTTTAAAGTGTCTGATATTTCTGCAGCTGGCTTACCTGTTTTTCCTGGAATTCCCCGGCAGCTTAGCATTAGTTAATGTGCAACAATTCTCTATCGAATGTAGTCATTAACTATAACGCAATGCCTCCCTGTGCTACAGCCTGTTTCTGACTCTCTCCGATGCTAATGAAGACCATCATCCTTTTTCAGAAGTCCACAAAGAAGATAGCGTGGTGCGTGCAAACAGCTGTACTGGAAAAACAAACTGCGACAGAGAGCATTTTGTATCTCATCTGCTCTATCCTCCCCTTAGGTCTTTCTGCTTGGTTTTTAATTTTTTTTTTTGTCCATGTGTAAAACCTAGTCAAGATGTTTAATGGGATAGGACTTTCATACATCTTTCTGTGCATGGTCCTTTACACTGCAGAGTACCGTTAACAACCGTGGCAAAACCATTTGGGTTTGGTTTTTTTTTTTTTAATAGAGGTGTTAGCACCAAAGTATTAAAGCCAGGAAAAATAGCAAAGAAAACCTGAGATGCATTAAAGAAAAGCCTCTTTGTGTAACTTCTTGCTTACTCAGTAATTGAAACTTACTTCATACATTCTTGATATCTGTAAGCAGAAGGTTTAAGTCTGTAATGCCGTTCCTTCTCTCTGCAGTCTGGTTATTGTGTTTTCACAACAGCAACATAACTGTTATTGCTGAATTATAGAATAAATACAGGTTATCTCACCACTGACCAGTCATTACTTTCCTTCACAAGTCTGACAGTTTCGAACCAAATATCGTACAGAGCGCAAGCTTCTTTTGCTTAACAGTCCGAATGGAGCGAGTGGCCTCTCTTGAAAAGGTGATGCTTAACACCGAGTTCTCAGCCCAAATCTTCCACCGGCGCCCTGCAGACAAATCCAGGCACAAGCAGTATTACCACTTTTGAAGCTGGCTGTTACTGTAAGGCAAAAGCACGGCTTTAAGATCGCCGATACTGTTACACAATGTAAGGTTCTCTTGTAGCTGTATGCGAGTCAGCGGCAGTTTCCTTAATTCAGCTCATCTACAATTTCTGTGTTTATCTCATTTTGCTTTTGACTGGGGTTCTAATCTTGTAGCATGGCTGCAGACAGTTGTTTGGAAAGTGTGAGTGGAGCCTCGGATTGTGTGCCTGGGTAGCTGAGATCCCAGTTCTGCTCACGACACTCTGGCTGTGACCGAGCTGTGGTTATCCGAGGCCATGGCAGTACCTCCGGGAGCCCAGCAAGCTAAGAGCACTGGATCCCTATCCGCCTCCCCGTACCGCAGACCACCGATGCCAGCCGAGGAGGCTGTGGCCCCCACGGGGTTTTGCTCCTGTCTGACATCCCTCCAGCAGCAGGCCATGGTCTCTTTGGGGGCCAGGAGCACATGGGATCAGGTGGCAAAGCTGCAGCCCGCCAAGAGATGCGGCAGGGGAGGCGAAGTCTTACTTGTGCTGCTATGGTGGATGGTGAGGTGGTGAGCGTGGCCGCTCTGGAGCTGGCGTTGTTCTGTGGCTTCTCCATCCCACGCAGACAGGTCCGTGCCTGGCTTTGGAAGCCTGCTTCACATCCGATTGAAAATCGGGCACGTCACTTCAGCTACCGCTAACGGCCTTGCCTGAGCAAAGAGCAGCTGCCCCAAAAAATGGTGCCAGTTCCAGGAGACAGGAAGCAGGGTGCTTCGGACAGAAAAGGCAGGTGCCGCTGGGGCTTTGCGCGGCGGGACCCAGCACTGCGGCACACAGAGGCTAGGAGCGGCCGGGCAAGGGCTTCACCCCGGCTCCCTGCAGCGAGGTCCATCCTGCACAGCTCGCCTGTGCGGTGCGGGCCGTACCGGGGATCTCTGTGGCAGTGGGGTGAGCCCGAGGGGCTGGTACGGCCCTGCACCGACGGCAGGACCCGAGGGTGGGCCCTGGCAGGGCCGGGCCGGGATAACATCTTAAAAAACAGTCATCAGAATAGGTTTAAAGGAGGAAAAAAAAAAAAAAAAAAGGCAGCGCGATGTTGCGGCCAGATGGGTTGAGCAGAAAAAGCCCGGCTGTGCCGCGGGGGTGAGCGCCGCCGCCCCCGGGCCCCCGCGGAGCCCCC